ATTTACTAGAAACACATTTTAAAGTTTTAAATAGGTGGTACTTAGTACCAGCTAAATTGAACAAAATATATCCTTTAACTAACCCTACCTGCTGGAGGTGTAACAGTACTAGAGGCAATTTTAGACATATTTGGTGGGACTGCCATAAATTAAAAAAACTGTGGCTGAAAATACAGAATTTCACATCCAATAATCTAAAACTCGAGTTGATAATTTCCCCAGAGGTAGTTTTATTACATTTGAATTGGCCACATATGACGTACGAGATAAAAGTAATTCTTATACATCTTTTTTTAGCTGTCAAAATAGTAATTGCGAGATGGTGGAAAAAAGATTCAGAAGTCCCCTGGAAGAAAGTTAAAAACCAGTTCGAGTTTCAGATTAAAATGGAGTTGATGCTAAGTAAACAAAAATTAAGCAATAAGGTATTTGTTTGGTCAAAATGTATTGAGATGATTGATGTAGGAAATAATGTTGATTAGTTAGAAGTGGTTTAATTCCATGAACATTGTAAAAATTATGAGATATATTTAAATGCTCCTACCACTCTACTTAAGAAATTTTTTTTGGTATCTTTTTCTTCTCTTCTATCTTGCTGCTATATTGTCTTGTGTTATATTGTAAATTTGTATGATATATGTATTTAAAATAAAGGAAAAAAAGTAAAGAATTAAAAAAAAAAAAAAAAAAACCTTAGGTAAATAGCCCGTGATATCTACTTTATATAAATATATACTTTTGTGTGGCAATTTTGTTTTCTTTTATGGCTATTAAGCTTACAAGACAAACAGACCAAATTCTAAATTCGCTCCACATTAAAAGTCTATTTTACTCCTTGTGCTTTGTGACCTGTAACTACCAAAAAAAACTTAAAATCCCAGACACATTATATATTCTGTAAATCAGAACAACTAAATTAATTTATTTTAATTACTTTTCTTAAACTGCACTAATCATGCACACATTATTATTGCAAAAACTGTAAAAAAAACACAACATTTTAATTTTCTTTACATTTTTCTGTAGTTTTTTATAATAAATAAGCATTTATATATATGTGTGTTACATCAAATTAAAGCCCTTTCTGTCCTTTAAAAAACGATGTATAATATGTGTTGGTGCAACAAATTAGTAAAATGTAAATTGCAGTTGAACGCAAACAGCAAAAAATGAAAAAAATGCCGTTGTCATTAAGTGAAAGACAAGCATTTGAAGTTCTGTCCTTAAGGGGTTAATGAGGTTGGCAGCCAGATCAAAAAACCTCTGGTGGCTACCACATTATCAAATTGTCAAACACACTCATATTGTAAAAAGGCTTGTGACGGACTGCCCGGCACCCCGACCTGGTACCTCCATCAATCGATGCTCTAAGCACTTCTCCAGACACCATAAGTACTGCAGACCCCCCCCAGAACCGCTGCAGCTTGGTTGGGGTCTCACCGTCTTCTACCTACCCTGGACCTACGACAAGGCTCCAGTTTCCAGTGGGTTAATCTCTCTTCCTTCAGAGAGCGTAGCAGGAACAGCTCTTACAAGAGCTAGTGATTATCCAAGGGAGTATGATGATCATAGCAATCCCTTGTAGTGATATAGCAATTCCCTCCAATAAGAGACAAGACTCTAGATTGAGGGTGAAGTAGAACTGAAAGTTTAATGGAGCATACTGGTCTTTTATACAAGTTTCCCAACAAGGTCGATGCCCAGGTGGACCTTGTTGGGTACAGGACACAAAACATGCAAGCCAATAAAAACAGTGTAACAATGAATGACACTCCTACATACATTACACAATCCCTCCTCTCTGCCTGTGAAACAATTAAGGTAGATAATACAATAACTTAATCATCCCCAGACAGAAAAACCACACATTTATACAAAGTCTAGAAAAAAAACCAAAACACAACATATCCACACAAATGCCACATCCCCTGATAGCCCTGATCTGGGTAAACAACATATCCAACAATCACCCAGATCAGAGCAGGTATTCAGGACTGACCATGCTCATGGTCCTATGCTGAAAACAGTTCAAGGGAAATCAGTGCTAACAGTCGGTCAAGTTTGGTAGTCTTTTACAGGTTTCCCTGTAGGGCCCATAGTCTGTGGGCAGGAGGCTAGCAAGCAGGCTTTTCCAGGAGCTTGTGGCAAACTCACTTGGAGAGGGGAGTTTGTCACAAGGTCCTCTCTGCCCATCATATTTAGTCACATTTTTAATCAATTTGGCTAATTTGAGAGTATCCATCTGACCCCTTCTTTGGTACATTTTTCAATTTCTTTTCGATTTCACTTCTCTCCTGCCCCTTTACAACTTAACCTCTGCACCATTTCATTATCAACTTCCGCTTTCAAAGTAAAATCCAAATCTTTTTCAGATTTTTCCACAAAATATCTGTAGCATTCCCCAGATTAGCAATCTGTTTTTGCAGTTTGTCAAAATTAGTAACATTTAAGTCTAATTCTTAGACATGTGAGACAGTCTTTTATGGGTTCTGTCTGACAGATCAGTCTGATATTTAAGCACTTCTTTCATTATATTAAAATCTTCACTTGTTCAACATGACTAAAAAATTTTAAACAACTGCCAAGAGTCTTCTATTTGAGTTTCTGTTTCAACTAATCAAAAGAGAGCCATGGGGGCAATTTCCCTTCTTTTAACAACTTTTGAGGAGATTTTGCTAGAGGGGCTAGGGAAATTACTACAACTTGCAACAACACATATTTTTCAGTTGTTTTTACAATACATTTCTTTTTTGTTTCAATGTACTACAAACATAACAATTACTTGTCTTTTTAAGTTGCATTAGTTTTAAGAAAGCCAATACTGTAACTTTTTTACTTTCCTTTTTAAACAAATTGTTTTGCTCAATACCACTTAATCTGTCTAACCATTTCAATACACCAGTATCTCAAGTATTTTCAGGATTAATCCTTTTACAGACAGCAGTCTTTTACAGCCACTCCATAATTAACTAAACAGTTAAAACAATTTGTTTAACAAAAAACAATATACATATGAGCAACTTTCTACAGATGTGTTACAAAAGATACATACCCTTTGAAGAATTTTGATTTCCTCAGATTTGCGCATTATGATATGGAAGAATACTTTTTGGAGTATGTAGCTATTTTTGAGAATCCTCCGCAAATTCAATATTCGATCTGCAAGTCGTCATAAATAATCATGGATAAAAAGGATTTGGATTCTCTTCTCAATTAATTATCTTCAAATTCCTCCAGTACTGGGTAAAGCAACCACGTTCAAATGAGTTCCTTCTGCTCACCTCGCCTTTGTATAGTAACTCTGGAATGTTTAAACAAATGATCCTTGGAATGCCATCATGCAGCTTCAGTCCCATATGTTTCTTCTGTTTCAAGACAGGTAATAAAACTTTTTTTCAGGGAACAATTTGATCTTTTCTTAAGTGATCTTCTGGTAATCTTCTTGCAGCAGAATCTTTAGATATTCAGTCAGTAATAATTCAGACTTTTTTTTTTCTCTCAGTTTGTTGGTGTTTGCCTCTCTCCTCCCCCCTGTGCTGCAGCAATAGGAGGTGGATTGTCTAAACTGCTAGATTGAGGGGTTTGGAGAGGGGTGTTTGGTAGAGGTAGAGGGGAGTTAAATTACTATTAAAAGAATACTCAATTAGATCTCATAAAAAGGTACAGGATTAAGAAATATAAATTTACTAAAACATAGCTACAAGGAAAACACAAGATATTAAGCAAAGCTCAAAAAGAACAAAAAAGACGGAAGTAAATAACGGAAGTACAATAGAAAGAAGAGCATCAGATTTTTTCTCTTCGCAACTAAATAAAGGAAAAAACCCTAAATCAATATATGAAGAATCACTACCATTATTGGACACTAAGGAAGCGGAAATAGATAAAATATCTGAGAATTCATGGAATGATAGTGTTCCTATCTCGGCTGAATATCTGGCTAAATGCCTAGAAGTACAACTAGAAAAAATAAAAGAAGAAATAAGTATGCATTCAATGGAAATCAAAAAAGAGGTCCAAAATATAGGGAGAAGACTGGAAGAATTGGAAGATAAAACAGAACAAATTGACATCCAACAAAAGAATTATACTGACAAAATAAATACCTTGGAAATAAAATTGGAAAATATAAAAGAGAAGATCGTCGATTTAGAAGATAGATCCAGAAGAAATAATCTCAGACTTAGGGGGGATACCGGAGAGCATTGTATACACAAAATTGGAAGGCTATTGTGAGGAATTCTTTAAATTTCTGGGGATTGACCTGGACACGGAAATTTTTTTTATGGAAAGATGAAATAGAACAATAAAGCCTAGTAGGATTACAGACCAATCCCCAAGAGATGTGATTATCTGCCTACGGTCATACCGGACCAAGACGCAAATTATGAAAGCTATTTCGGTCAAAGTCCTAAAAGATTCAGCATATCAACAAATTAAGATCTTCCAAGATCTTTCTTTCCAGACGAGAGCTCAAAGAAAATCATTTGAAACACAGACAGCGATATTGAGGGAAAAATAAATTAAATACGCATGGGGGTTCCCGACACGCATAAATTTAACCTATGACAATCAGAGGTTAACCTTTGAAAAACCGCAAACATTAAAAAAATGGATGCAAGAAAAGAACATAATATAGGAGAGGAAGGGAGGTTTTTTGTGTGTGAATTCTAAGTGTAGGAAATGAAAAATATGGTAGTAAATCACTATATAAACACTTACTTAAACGTCACTTGTCACAGCAAGGAAAAGTTTGTGATTAAGAAAAGAAGTTGAAACACTATAGATATGAAGGATGAATAAAAGGAAGAAGGGAGAGAAATATATAAATATAGATACACAAAGATTAAAATAAATTTAAAAAGGGGGGCGTGGCTGACCACCGAGCAAGATGGCCGCATAAGGACTTGCTCCGGTAATGAGCTCTTCCACACTAGCTTTTAAGGGCACAAATGAGCACAAACGAGCAACAAAATAAACAAAAAAAGACGCCAAAGGCGATGGCTACCCACAGAACAAAAAAAACGGACAAAATCAACTTCTTCGGCCATAAAGGCCAAACTCCGCAAACAGCCTCACAGTCGGACGCCCAAGATGGCGACGGGGATTCGGACTCGAGCCTTCCCATAGTGGACAACACGCAAACCGACCAAATCCCAAAAAGCTTCCTGGAACACGCACTGAATACCTTATCCAACAAACTGATAGCCTCCTGGCAACAAACGGCAGACGCCATGCAGAAAGAAATGCAAGATCTGGGAACCCGTACCTCCAAAATCGAAGACAAAATGGGGGACTTCGCTTCTGCACACAACAACATGGCGGATCATGTTCAACATCTGGAGGAAAAGGTGGAACGCCTGGAGTCGCAAATGGCTGATGCGGAAGATAGGGCACGGCGGAATAACATCCGGCTCCGAGGAGTGCCAGAGTCGGTGCAACAGGTAGACCTTCAGGCCTATGCACGAGGCCTGATGAGGGCCTACGCGCCGGACATACCGACGGATATGATGCTAATCGACCGGATACATAGGATCCCTAAGCCCGCTCACCTGCCAGACTCCACGCCACGAGACGTGCTGCTGCGGGCCCATTATTTTCATGTTAAGGAGCTGGTCCTCACGGCGAGCCGCAACCGCAACCACCCGCACGACGACTTCCCCACAGTGAAAGTGTTCAACGACCTCTCGGCAGCAACGCTGAAAAAACGACGGGCATTCCATCGGATCGCAGAAGCGTTTGCGCAACATGGCACCAGATACCGATGGGGCTACCCGACTAAGATGCTGATTCAACGAGGAGGTACCTTCAAACCCGTCCACTCCCCGGAGGAAGGAGCTAGACTGCTAAAAGAATGGGGCATACCACTTGGCCCGTCGGAGCCCACTGCACAGCCGATTGAGAAGACGGCACGGGAGTGGAGCGCTGCCCGCAAGAGACTCACCTAATGGACACAATGGCATGAGCCGCAAGTATTAGCCACGCACAACACCTCAACCACACTGACCTTCACTACATTACACAATTCATGCACATGCACTTGCTATAGATGATGTTCTTTCAGTCCCCCTACTCCACACACATACATATTGCAACACCACATAATGAACTGAAGCGGATGACCCAGTTTGGGGGCCGCAAAGCAGAGAGCCCCGTGAGCACAACGTGGACACTCACCTAAGACCTAACCTAAAGTGAACTAGCCACAGCCTGGAGTAACCCAGAAGTGGCCCGCCACTTAACAATCTAAAGGCAGTTATGTCTTTTTGAGTACCATATGTTTCAATTTTGAATATGTTGTCAGGAGGTCGGGGGCACTGGGGATCTGGAGTTATGTTGTCCGGGACACTGTATGCAATGATATGTGTATAGAAACATGTCTAGGGGGATCCCATAGACTCACAGTAGCCATTACATGACATGACACAACATAGGAGACAACAAAGTAGACCAGGGTAACTCAGACCATGTGAGATCTGCGGTTGCACAAAGTCCAAGGGAGACCCAGCCCTAACTACAGCCCCTGCCGTGGGGTGCACTCTATTACGCGGCCGACGAAGCAGGCTGGCACCGCCCCTATGCACGGCATGATCGGGCCGTGCATATCGGCCGTGGGCCGGGCAGAGGCCACCGGGGGTGATGACTGTGCCCACGGCAGCAGCGACTCCATGACGAATGCAATCTCACGCGGGGTGCTCTGGGTGATGGGCGGCTGCCCGCCATACTAAGGTTGATTTTTTCTATTTTCTTTTACAAAAAAAAAAAAATATATATATATATTCCCATTCTGGGACCTGATGGAACCCACATGCAGTGTGCATTTCAGCCCTTTACTGACTGATCCTAGCACACAGAGCTCGACAGCCACATTATGGGAGAGCCTAGGAACTCCCACCCCCGAGGTGCGGACCTTCTGCACCAAATCCTCCCTGGAGGAAACTATGTTCACCATACCCAAGTTCGACTGTCCAGGTTATACCCCCTTCCCTACCCTATCCCATGGAAGAGAGGACCTAACACTAGCCAGCCTTCCCGTAATAACGTACACCATCATTTCATGCCACGGTGGAAGCAAGCTCATATAGCACTATGTGCTTTAGTTCAGCATCTCACTTTCCACCTATGTCTATAACGATACGATCTCATAACACTAGAGGGTTGAACCACCCCCATAAGCGACGCCTCCTATTAGAAGAGGCAAAAAGGGACAAAATAGATATTTTATGCGCCCAAGAGACCCACTTTGTGACTAATAGAATCCCTCAATTTGGGCTACGAGACTACCCAACTCAGTTTCACGCTACTCACACCTCCAAATCCAAAGGGGTGTCCTTTTTGCTGCATCATACACTGACGTTTGAACTGCTGAGTATACGCAAAGATACGCAGGGAAGGTATATAGTACTGCACTGCATAGTTAACAACACTGAATATGTCCTGGTGGGGGTATACGGCCCAAACACTAACCAAACACAATTTCTAAAGAGAGTAATGAACAAATTACCCACCTCAACTACAGGGAATATAATCATATGTGGAGATTTAAATCATGTGCTGAACTCCCACACGGATACGTCCCTCCTTAGCACCTCCCCACGACACTCCGCTACAAAGACACAGAGCAAAGCCCTACACAACCTACTATCGGAATACAATTTGTATGACACTTGGCGCACGCTACATCCCATGGGGAGGGAGTTCACTTACTACTCACAGGTACACAAGTCGTTCTCCAGAATAGATTACGTAATGGTGTCGGGGCCACTGGTATTGAGAATTACCCATAGTCAGATAGGTGACATCGTGTGGTCGGACCACGCACCAATCACGGTGTCCCTAAGTGACTCCTTCCTCCATAGAGGGCGGCCACCCTGGCGCCTAAACGACTCCCTCCTGCACGACACTACATTCCGGGCGCGACTGCTACAGGATCTGGAACAATACTTCCAGACCAACGACACTCCGGATATATCCCCCGGCTCATTGTGGCAAGCCCACAAGCCAACTATACGAGGGCTGCTGATCAGCAGAGCCGCATTCATCAAACGCACATCCAATGAGGAATACACGACACTACTTCGAACAGTTCGGGATGCCACGGCCGCACATGCACTAAACCCACACGCTGATCACCTCACCTCACTAGAGTCCGCTACTAAACGGCTTAACGACATTCACTTGGCCAAATCATCCTACGCTATGCAACGCTTAAAAATGAGACAATACTCCCAGGGCAACAAAGCAGGGAAAGTCATGGCAACAATGCTAAGGAAAAAACAATCCCAATCTAAAATCCCTTACCTACACACTAACAGTGGAGCAAAACTGTATAACCCCCAAGACATCAACAATGAGATGGCAAACTTTTATCACGCACTGTAAAATCTAAGGCAGGATGCCACGACCCACCAACCCACAGATACTGAAATGAAACACCTTAGACCTCGCACAATTACCTTCACTAACGCCCGCACAAATAGACCAACTACAAACTCCAATCACGAACCAAGAGACACACGACACCATCGCGCTATTACCGCCTGGTAAATCCCCAGGTCCAGACGGTCTAACCAATCATTACTATAAAACATTTGCGGCCACACTGGCCCCACACCTGACATCATTATACAACCACATAACCACAACAGGCAAAATGCCGAGGGAGATGCTGATGGCGCACGTTGCCACTCTCCCTAAGCCAGGGAAACCACCAAATAGGTGCCAGCACCTGCGCCCAATCTCGCTCCTTAACACAGACACAAAGATATTAGCCAAAATCTATGCCAACAGACTGTCAACGATAATCCCTACCCTAGTACACGCAGACCAGGTGGGGTTTGTGAGCGGCCGCCAGGGGGCAGACGGGGTAAGGAAGGTCTTGGACCTGTTGGGTGGACTGCGGGGAGGGGGGGCACCGAGCGTGTTGGTGTCGCTGGACGCTGAAAAAGCGTTCGACCGCCTCCACTGGCCCTTCCTCCGCGCGGTCCTAGGGAGATTTGGGTTCCCCCCACGGTTCAAAGCATTGGTGGAAGCGCTGTACTCATGCCCATCGGCACAAGTGGTAAATGGGGGATTCTCTTCTAGCGCCTTCAGCATTTCCAATGGCACTAGACAGGGCTGCCCCCTATCCCCGATACTGTACATACTTGCCCTGGAGCCACTTGCACATAGGATCAGGAATGACCCCGCAATCCAGGGAATTAAGGTAAAACACGAAGAATATAAAATTGCACTATTTGCGGATGACATCCTTCTCACGCTACAAAACCCGCGCTCCTCTCTGGCGGCACTGCAGAACCTAATACACCAATACGGAAAATGCTCGTACTATAAATTAAATATTACCAAAACACAAGCACTAGGCATCAATATAGCGCAACCTGAGGCGAGCCACCTTAAAACGGACTTTGCGTTTGAATGGCGCACGGACAAACTAACATTCCTAGGAATAGCCTTGACAAAAACGCTGGCGGGTATCCACAAGGCGAACTACATACCACTGCTCGCGGAGCTCAAGTCCCTTGTACACAGCTGGAAGGGGAAATTCATATCGTGGGTGGGCAGGATAGCTGCCGTAAAAATGATGCTTCTCCCAAGAATACAATACCTGTTCAGAACCATCCCGCTTGCAATTCCCAGACGTTACCTGCGTGAAGTACAAAATCTAGTAACCTCGTTCGTCTGGAATAACACTAAACCTAGAATAGCAGCAGCTACACTACACAAACCTCTCCAGAAGGGAGGCATGGGCTTGCCAAACATAGCTCACTACTACAAAGCGGCCATGATAGGCACAATCTTGGCAGTCACGGGCAACCCCAACCCCCCACAGTGGGTAAGAATAGAAGCATACTACACAAATAAATTGCGGCCTAAACACAAGGACAGTCTCCCCACCACTAGACTCACACTGCAAATCTGGGATCAATTTGGGAAGACACACTTAATGAAAGGGGGCACCTCTCTAGCAACACCACTGGAGACTCTGGGCCTGATCATACCAGGATTCCACCTTCGAATATGGCACAAACATGACATACAACACCTACACCACATATGTCAGGGCCCAACTTTAAACACATTCACTGAGATCCAAACACAATATGGGCTCCCAGACACAGCTCGCTTCTCATATATGCAATTAGTGTCATGGTTCAGAACTCAAACGATCTGCTCTTACGACCCGGAGGTTGGGCTACAACTGACAGAACTAGA